CCGGTTGTCAGTGATCGTATTAAGTCATCGTTTTTGTTGACGAAGGGCCTTGAGGTGTAATGTATCATCGTGACTGAACCGTTTCTTTACAAAGGCTTAGACTCAATTTTCTTCTACATATTTCATACTTTTTTTTGTATCTTTCTCTCACAAGATGATAATCTCCCAGGAAACATCATGATGATCGCAGATTGTACCAAGGTACTCACTTAATTCTTATCCTAAAAAGTATGTTTTAAAATGGTGGAGATGTCGTTAGCGGAAGGGACAAAAAGAACATGCCTGATAAGTAATGTTTTGTAGCGTATATTTTTATTTAAACGATAAATTTTCCTCCTTATATGTACTCCTCTTGATCTGTCTTTGAAAAAAATGTCCTTCACATTCCCCATTCCAACGCTCTTCCTCCATCCGTCTCTCTCTCTCTCTCTCTCTCTCTTCCTCTCTCTTTCTCTCTCTCTCTCTCACTCTTTCTCTCTCTCTCACTCTCTCTCTCTCTCTCTCTCTCTCTCTCTCTTGGTGTGAAGAAAATTTCTTGGTACTAAACATAGCTAAAACGAAAGAGATGACTTTCGATTTTCGTACAAACAAAGGTCAAGCAAATCCAATCATGCTTAAAGGAGAGGATATACAGAGTGTCAAGAGTTTTAAGTACCTTGGTACAATAATTGATAACGAACTCTCATGGAAAGACCAATGCCAATCTCTGTATGCAAAGGCTCAACAACGAATGTACTTCCTACGAAAACTGAATTCGTTCCATGTAGACAGAACCATTCTGATGTTATTCTACAAGTCAGTAATAGAAAGTGTAATGCTTTTTAGTTGTGCGGTTTGGTACGGTGGGTGCAGAAAGGATAACCTTAAGAAACTGCAGAGAATATCCAATCATGCTAGCAAGATGACTGGCGAAGTAACAGATCTGAAACAGGAATGCGTGTGTACAATACTGAAACAGGTATCCCAGATTTTGGAAAATGCTAACCACCCCCTTCATCACTGCTATACCCTAATGCGATCGGGGAAGCGGTACAGATCAATGAAGGCTCGAACCTCACGATTCCTTAATTCCTTTGTCCCGCTTTCCATTCGTAAATACAATGAACAACTCCAGTCAATTTGAATAAGCCTGTATCTTGCCACTTCGCTAGTCATCAATTTGCATTGTACCCTTTCCTTTCCTTTCCTTTCCTTTCCTTCCCTTCCTTTCCTTTCCTTTTCAACCGAATGTACCAGTATCACGAGCAAATAAATAATTAATACCCTATGATGCCATATGTTATTCCAAGTTGTAGTTATATACCGTTTAATCTATGAAGGAAAGAAAGAAGAAAGGATTCAGCTATAAAACCGTGACAAAGAATGATACATGCAATAAATACTGTTGATGATGATGATAATAATAATAATAATAATAATAATAGTAACAATAATAATTATGATAACGATAATAATGATGATGATAATAATGATAACAATAATAATAATAAAATATAACAACAATGCTACTTCCAAATTCTACGCAATCGTACATTTTCAATAGTGTTGGAAGTCCTTTTATTTATCTATTTTACTTTTCTTATTTAATTCCACTTTGTAAAAACGACTTAATGTTTTCATATGAATTTGTCATTGTACATGTTTCCATATGAATTTGTCATTGTACATGTTTCCATATGAATTTGTCATTGTACATGTTTCCATATGAATTTGTAATTTGTCATTGTACATTTGCTACTGTATATTATCTATTCGCGTATATTATTTTCTATTGTATATTGTTCATGTGCCTATGTAACGCCAACAAATGAATTTCCAAATGGACCAATAAAATTAATCTGAATCTGAATCTGAATCCTCCCTCTCTCCCCCTCTCTGAACGCATCTTTGATTCGTTTATAACCTTCTTTTCACTCTCTCTCTCTCTCTCTCTCTCTCTCTCTCTCTCTCTCTCTCTCTCTCTCTCTCTCCATTCCTCCCCCTCTCCTCCTCCTTTTTCTCCATTCCTCTCTCTCTCCCCCTCTCTGAACGCATCTTTGATTCGTTTATAACCTTCTTTTCACTCTCTCCATTCCTCCCCCTCTCCTCCTCCTCCTTTCTCTCCATTCCTCCCTCTCTCCCCCTCTCTGAACGCATCTTTGATTCGTTTATAACCTTCTTTTCACTCTCTCCATTCCTCCCCCTCTCCACCTCCTCCTTTCTCTCCATTCCTCTCTCTCTCTCCCCCTCTCTGAACGCATCTTTGATTCGTTTATAACCTTCTTTTCACTCTCTCTCTCTCTCTCTCTCTCTCTCTCTCTCTCTCTCTCCATTCCTCCCCCTCTCCTCCTCCTTTTTCTCCATTCCTCTCTCTCTCCCCCTCTCTGAACGCATCTTTGATTCGTTTATAACCTTCTTTTCACTCTCTCCATTCCTCCCCCTCTCCACCTCCTCCTTTCTCTCCATTCCTCTCTCTCTCTCCCCCTCTCTGAACGCATCTTTGATTCGTTTATAACCTTCTTTTCACTCTCTCCATTCCTCTCTCTCTCTCCCCCTCTCTGAACGCATCTTTGATTCGTTTATAACCTTCTTTTCACTCTCTCCATTCCTCCCCCTCTCCTCCTCCTCCTTTCTCTCCATTCCTCCCTCTCTCCCCTCTCCGAACGCATCTTTATTTCGTTTATCTCCTTCTTTTCATACTCTGTTGTTTTGCAAATCCTTCGTCTATTCAACCCCAAGTTTCATCATATCTGACTATTTTTGGTAGTCATCTTCTAAATGGGAGGTTTAGCCGTGACAGTAAAGAAAATGATCATCTTGAACCAAGTGCTTTGCACAAGGTATAACTTATTCTTCAACCGATTCTCCCTATATGCTTTCCACACTTAAAATAGATAAGAATAGTCCTATATATAATAGGACCAGTAAGTTAATTCTTATGGGGCAAATTGTGCACAAAAATGATCCAGAGATATTTTCACCTCATATCTAATAGATATGAGGTGATTATGCAAAACCATACGCACATTACCTTCATCTGAGATCAATTACATGAGTAATATACCTGTCAAAATAAATTATAAGTATTGACAAACAAAACACAATCATCATCTTCATTCATCACTCAACACCCCACTTAGCATCATCCATGCAACGAGATAAACCAAATGACGCAACTCCAGAAGTTCTTCATCCCGGCATCTAATCTCATCTATCCATCAAAGAGGGGGCCCTCTTCGCCGGGTATCCCAAAGTGGGACAGATTCGCCGTCACTCAAAAACAATAGCATAAGACAGGTGTGGCGAGGGGTTAATTGTGCATTTCCTATGTCCACACAACATACCACCTATTTGTTTTGAATGCTGTCCCTTAGTCATGGTCCAAACCAGGTCAAAACTGATCACTTTTCTTGTTTTTTATGTGCTTTTTTACATTTTTTATTAAAATTCACAGGATATGAAGAACAGAATTTTGTAGGTCATGGTCTCTTTTGATTGATCAATGGAACTTTAAATGTTGTTTACCTTAACCCTGTCCACACACACACACACACATACAAACACACACATGGTGCAAAGTGTAACCATGAGATATGCCATATCACCTTCCTATGCTGGAATGAATACTGGCACAATATGAAATATTTCCTTTGTGATTTGACCCATTTTGATAGAATACAACAAAAACAAGATGAAAACCTTCTCATAACATTACATTCAGATTTATTTTCTTACAGTAGACATACATGAACATAGAACATTATTAACAAGCACAAGTATCAAAGGCACATATTTTCTCAAAACTTTCAACATATAAGTGATGAGGTACAGCTTAACTGTTTAAGTCACACTATGAACATGACGGACAAAATATACAGTTTCTCAGGTAGACAAAGGAACATCCCTTCATTGCTATTATGTAAACATGTGTAGAACAGGTGTCACATGCATATTCACCTGTTCTACACATTTTTACATAATAGCAGTGAAGGGATGTTCCTTTGTCTACCTGAGGAACTGTATATTTTGTCCGCTTTCTTTGTCCGTCATATTCATAGTGTCATGTAATGCCTGCATTTCACATCCATTAACTTCATTATCTTGATGTCAGCAAATCGTAAAAGAGGGGTAAAATATTTGAAATTTGGTAGAAATTGTGGCACCATTCAGTGCGTTGATGAATTTCATCTGACACTGAAGCAAATTTTCAAATCAAATACATGTATCTTACTCCCACCTTTCAACATTTTCAAAGAAATATATTCGTCCCCTTCTTATATAGAACTCATGTTAAAAAGGGGGAAAACAGAAGAATAAATTTAATCACAATACCGGTAATTCATTTGGGAAATTGGTAGTCATAACCTAAATATAAATAAAATGAATTCTAATCAAAATTTCATTTTCTAAACTATTATATATGAATATTATGAATGACTCAAGAGATTCAAACATTTCAATTAGATTTTAAATTGTACTAAGTAAATGTTATACAGATATAAATTGTATACCGTTAGATTTACTATCTAGTCATGAAATATTCACTGATGTCTCATCAAATGAAGAATGAATATCTACACCTTGGGTCATGTCTTAACTTTCAGGATTCATAGGTTATTGCAGTTATGAGTTTTTCAACAAGATTCTTCTGTTCATTCATACTTTTATACACTTATATCATCTAAAAATTGGAATCTGTTTATATGACCACAGGCTAGTGATTCTCCTGGTAACACGACCATCAATCAGTGGTCATAAGGGATGCATTGCACAGAATCGCCTTTATGTGTTATGTTATATTTTAAGGACGGTCCACAGTAATTTTTGTGCATTGTACTGTTTGTACATATGAAATATACAACCAAGCTGGCCCTGCGCAGCGAAATTGCGTACTAACAATGCTGCAGAACGTCCTTAAAGGGCCATCAAAGTCAACAACTCGTTAACATTCTGTAACAGTACCATGAGTCCATAACCATAACAAAAAGATTACCGGTATTTAAACCGAACAATTATTCCCCCCCCCTCCGATTTACGATAATCACATTTAACAATTAAAAAAAGATGTGATTACAAACACTTCCATAAAGTAAATTTGTACAGAAGATTTGGGGGGGGGGGGGGGAAATATAACCCAATAATCTGCAATTGATGCTGACCACATGTCAACTCACATCCTGCAATTAATAAATGCACTTTACTGTAAAACTGCACAAAATAATAATGGGACCGACTCTGTCGGTTTTTGAAAATAAATCTTTCGTCAACAAATCTAAGCAATAAACTTGAAGAGCTACATCTGAATTTTTGAGATCTCGAAGTGGTTAACTAGAATGATATATTACTCATAGGTCATGTTCTACTGAAATTTAACCCTATGACAGATTAAATTCAAAAGAAGTTAAAGACTAAGGTCCCATCTAGTTTTCTTTTGTTGAACTTGACTTAGATCCTCACGTCAGGTTCGACTGAATAAGCAAGTATAGACTGGGCACTCTGATGTGTCACACGCACCATAGAATGTAAACAATCTCATTTCAGTCATGTTGTTATGCCGAAAGACATATATTTTTTAAAGCTATGATTGGGTTTGAAAGATGCTCTTTTAGTATGTTTTCGTTATTTCATAAGTCATATCTGTGCTGACAGCTTTAATTTGGGGAATAACAATTCAAGTATTAGGAAAACTTATCTTAAATTAAAAGGAAAGAGCAGGGGTCACAACAAGACAAGAAATATCTCAGGTACCTTAAATTTGTAGGGTGTTTTACTCTCTGCAAATATTGTATATATTGTCTGTTTGGAGCAAGAAGGGGCATTATTTTGTGTACAATGAAACAAGTGTAATGCCCTACTGGATCCAAACAGACGATATCATACTATTGTGGTCAATCTACTTGATTCCAGCACACATTATTTGAATACATATTTTTGGCAAGGGCAACCCTTCCCTCTTGATGTCACCAAGATTCTCTTGTCACCAAAATTTTCACCTCCAAACCAGGGTCTCTTTCCTTCTATTAATTCATTGTTTTTCTCTCCTTACTTTGTCTTTTATTCCAACATCAGGCTCGGTTGACTCCTTCTTCATCCTTCTCTCATCCACATCTCAATCTAAAAAAAATAGCCCCATCAGCACTTCTGAAACTTGCTCGTTTTGTGAAGTATATCTTCAAAAACGAATGCAGCCAATGTTTTTTTCAGTCTCATACTCTTTTAAGTTTGGTATTGGTTGCTTGTTGTTCAGAAGCTCCACCTACTTTCTGTCCTTCACAAGCTGTGATTGGTCCATCTCAGCTGTCAATCACCCAGAGTATGTTGACCCCTGATAGTCCAAGGTTCACCCTCCTAAAAATGCAGAAAACAAAAACAAAAATGTTTCCTGTTCAATAGTTATAATGTAGTTAGTGTTGTAAATACTTAGCAGTGAGGTTAAAAGGGACAATTGGGCACTTTTCTTAAATGTACACTTGTTCAGGTCACTACGTAGCTAAGAAATACTTTACACTTTTAAACTAGGATGCCGCCTTTTCAACTATTGTAAAATGCATATATTAAGCATCATCTGGCATTTGCACATCATCACAAAAAGTATACTAAAATTTAATTTAAAAGTGACTTTGGTAACATTCACAACACTTGAAATATCATTAACAGACTCAGTTCCTTCTCTACTTGAACACCATCAGTATTACTTATTGAGACCTGTCTATGTCACAGCATTACAATTGGTCAGTCTTGGTCTTGACCACGAAATGTAATGCTGAATAAACACAATCAAACATTTTCTTCCTGATGTTTTTTTTTTTTTTTTTTTTGGGGGGGGGGGGGGGGGGACTGATGTATCAACTACAATGATATTCACTACTCTCCTTGCTATAGTATTTCTAAATAGACAAGAGGGCTTTTTAAATGACAAAAAGATATCTGTACTAACCCCAGCATTCCATTCTCCTTGGTTTTAATGTGACGCAGAAACAGCAGGATGGCTTGGAACATGTTGTTTCTTCCCTGTATGTTTGGGAAATAAAAATATGTAAGACAACTTTAAATCATATCAAAGGACATTAAAGGTACAAATTTATTAACAAACATATTAACATACATATATATATATATATATATATATATATATATATATGAATTAGTGTGCTACGGTTTGCTTCACATCAAATATACCTATCTCATTGTTTATTAAAATATTCAAACCTTTATCTCTCCCAAAATATATAACAGAAGATACATACATGCAAGCATTTAAGGTTTTATATACAAAATACTGGCAGCATTTCACAATATGCTTCAAATATTGTGACTGACAAAGATAAAAGAGAACTCAAAGTAACTTTCAGTATATTTTTTTTTTGGCAGCAAGACTTTTCCCCCTTCAAATTAAAAAAATATTGAAGAAGCACTCCATAATTTAAAGTGAAAGGATTCTAATGAACTAACCTTTGGAAGATCCCATGTATCATCACCAAGTATAACCTTGTAGTGAGGAGGGTTGATCTTGGAATGGAAGAGAAGCAAATTCTCCCTCTTCAAATCTAAAAACAAAAAATTGTAAGATAAATAAAAACTGATCAGCTAAAACAAGACAATATACAAGAAGTCATGATGTAAGTCAGGCCTCAAAACTCATCTTTTCAAGCAAATGTGTAGTACATAACTATCGAAGGAGCAGGCGCCATTGAATGTTTGAAACAGATAAATGGCGCCATACAAGTGCTGTGGATCATCATCATCATCATCATGTAACCTTTGAAATAGATGCTGGTTGTTGGTGATGTTCATCTTATTAGAGCAAATATTGTTCCCAGTATTCATGATATGTACTGTAAAAATGCCTTTTTGCTTGAATTCTAATACCGGTAGTCATTTCTAGTATCCAAAATATAATACAATATCTGATTAACAAACCACCTTTCAGCCAACAAACGGAATACAAATCTAGACTCGCATACCTTTATATGCTTCAAAATATTAATAGCTAGTTGGGTGGAACATTGTCATTCTATAAAATAGATTTACTAATCTCTTCATCACACAGCTACATTTCAAAAATAAATGTAACATCTCAACTTTATTTTCTCTTTACAGATTAAAGAGATTGAGACAGAGAAATTCCCTGAAAGAAAGAATATTCAATGGGGGTCCGGGGGCAAGGCCCCTAGCAGGATAAAAGGGGGTCATGCCCCCTTTCTGCAGAAAAATTTAGAATATATTAACGTAAAAGGACACAATTTCCTTGCATTTAAATTCTAAATTTGAGAAATATTTGTTACCCTATCTTGTTAAAGGGACTCTATAACATTCTCTATTTTATTTTGTTTAATTTAATTTTCTGTTTTTGTTTCCGTCTTGAAATCTCGAAATTGGCGGAGGAATCTCATCTTGTAAGCCCGACAGTTTCTGCAGCAATAGACCTTCTTCATGCTACCAGACGGTGGACCCAAGAGTTTCCACTGATCTCCCTTTTTCACTTGGATACCTTAAAAAGATGATAAAATCATCTGTTATCATACCTGGTTTGTCGGGCGTCTTCATGAAGTACTGATCGGTGAAGATCTTTCCATCAGGATGCTTAGGGTGGGGTGGAAGGCAAGAGTCCAAGTAGGTACACAAGGCATGCAGTACAAGCTGTAAAGAGGAAGGATAACAGGTCAAAATTCTTTAAAGTAGCTGTGCAAAGATTTAAAAAAAAAACTAACTTTATTTTCATTATTGCAAAGGTGCAACTTTGATTGGACAATTTCATCAAAATTCAATGCACCTGAAGAGCTCTCCGAACACTGCTAGATATGTGTGACATCACAGGTTGGGCATGATTTGCACAATCAATCGCACAGCTACTTTAAACAGTAAGTTAATTTTGTCCTAGTACAAAGGTGTGAGCGTATTCAGATGTTCTAATGCATGGAATCAATTAACTTGGAAAATGAAAAAGTTGCTATATATTCGGATTCGCAAGAATTCCATCTGACAATGAAACTTGTAAACTTAAAAACATTAAAGCATCATAATCATATATTAAGTGAGTGATAGGATACTATGGGAGAATATGTATTTCTCGATACTCCCCAAGAGACAGATAAATGTAAAATAGTGCTCTTGAACTCAGCTTTACATACATTTATTTTTCTAGTGTCACTCTCTCCAACCACATTCTAGAAAAAATTATTTTTCAGCTAGTAATGCTTCTTATTTTTTTATTTTTCTGCTGGTACTGCTTCTTATTTTTTTTAATCTTTCACCCAAATTTAGGGTGAATATCTCTTGATACTAACCACACAGTCTGTAGGCAAGTCCTTCTGCCATTTACGGCCCTTATACTCTCCACCCTGGTCCCATCGAAACTCACAGATGTATCCTCCTCGAGCAAGGTCTAAAGAAAAGACAATGACAAATTATAAAATGAAAATTATTGACTACAATAGAAATAGTTTTTACAACAAGAAAAGCATTTATCTACAAATCATTTCAACTGTGGGGGGATCGTTGATAGTAAATTGTAGTTCATCATAGGTCTGATGGAATGATACTAAAGTACAGGTTTGGTATGGTCCCTGAAACTTTGCGACTGATTCGTTTGATAAGAGTTGAGAAACAGCAAGATACCATCGAACATCAGCTGCTGTAAATTTCTGTCTTCTTCATGTAGACAAATGAGACTAATGAAAATATTAAATATGTCTGAAAAAGCAAACACATGTAAAACAGTTAAAGATAATGCAAAGTTTTGGGGAATTTGAAAATTGGATTGATAGTAATTCTTTAAAATTTTGATGTATTTGGGTGACCCTGTGGATGAACTATAAGCACTTAACAATTTAGCCCCTTTAACACTTCAGCTTTCGATAAATTGAATAATCAAAAATTTACCGGTACTTCCGGTAAATATCGAATACTTCAAATAGCGCCTAAGGCCATTCCATGGTAGCTGCGACCATGACAATTTCAGAATATGCAGCTCTGATATATAATTTCAAAACGGGAATAGCAAATCGGTCGATTGCAGTCCAGAAACAAAGTAAAATCAGTCTTGAGAGGGAGCTATACAACATAAAGAGTTTACTATTTACAATGTCATCACTTTAGACTCAATTTCAACTGCGACAACGATCATTGAATATTGTAAAATCGCATATGCTTCCAATATGTTCATTTGATCTGACTCATGACCCCATAACAAAACTTTGAATTACCTTTATAGCTATGTGCAGAGATTCTAATAAAGCCCTTCTGGTTGATTTTAGGATTAAGTACCTTCCAAAGCCCAATAAATTTGAAATATTTTGAAAGAAAAACTGTAGATATAAAATGTTAGTTTCCTATACTGCAGTGATTCTACAACAACATCAACCATTAAAAAAAAATCTATCACAACAGTTTTCATTTATGTAGACTGAAACTTAAGAGCTCACCTCTGTATCTCTGTATAATGTATTCTTGATTAGATGATATATCTAGGTAGGAGAGTAGTACGTTGAGGGAAGGTACATGCTGGCTCTTGAGAATGGCTACCTGACGAAGAGCTGATATACTTGTATCTGTAACAAAAATAGGGAAGGCAAAAAATAATGAGATTTGAACAAGGGACAATAAAAATGAATCTAGGACTAATGAAATCACACAATCATGCGACTGATTTGTATCGATATCCCCAACCTTAACTTATACTTGGCAAGTTCAAGGCGTTTGGTCTTTTGGTGCCCAATATGTGACTTAGTATTATGGTATTATCAACAGTATTTTTTCAGTTGATATTGGTCTGGTCTACTCCAAAGCTCTAGTACAGGTTGCAAAATAAATACTTAGATGTGATCTGTTGACATACATGTATGGGGCAACAGAGCTTTCACTTGCCCACCAACAGGCTTACCTAGCGAAAAGTCTAGCTAACAAACTTGGCTAAATACTAATATGTATTTTATAATCAATTTTCTTATAGTCTTTCAAGGATTGTGTGTTTGTACATTCTTACACAAATACTAAGAAAGCTCAAAAAGTCTTAAGTCAAATTATAGCCAAGGCGACAAGGTAATGTATGATAGATGCCTTTATAACCAATGACAATGGCACACCTAGTTGATCTCAGCTACATGTTATCTCTTTGAAAGATCCTCAAAGTCCTACACAACCTTTTAAAAATCTCTATTTTTAATCTGTATGTGTACATACCTCCTATTTGAAGGTCCCCATGGCCAAGCCTCTGCAGTTTTTTGTTGACGTTGTCTATCTCTTTGATGATAGGAACCAATACTGTCTGGCTCAACCACTGCAGACGATTTCATAGAAGGTAAACAAACACAAATCAAATGGTTTTATTCAATGTTATTCTGTATAATTGTGCACTAGAATTAGATGTCTTCAAGTATGCTTTTACATGGTCAAACAAACAATCACTGGTATTAAAAAGGATAGACTCTTTGCAAATGATTTTGTCCAATAGTTGCTCATTATTAAACTTGGATTGCACTTCTCTTGAATATCGAATGAGGATTAATACAAACAAAGTAAATGACTGAAAGTTAATCCATCAAGAAATAATGTTACTAGCACAGTTACTTGAAAAACCCTAGGAAGAAGTATTATGTCAGACGCAATCACAGAAACAAAATAACGTAGAGATTATCAAGATAATTTAAAGAAGAACAAACCTGTCTTAGATTGGCAATCCAGCGGTCAAGCGTCTCTCTGTCCACCTCCAGCTTGTCCCAGGCCTCCTCTGCTCCATACGTGGCCGGATAGTCCTGGTCATCCTTGCCCCGTCCAGTGGCTGGTGACTGGGGTGACCTACTGGCTAGCTGGTACTGGTACTTGCCCAAGAGATAGTTGAAGTCTGCAGCAGAACGGTTGTAAGCCCAGAAGGACGGGCTACTGTTCGGTGATTGGTCCGGCATTCCTGTGGTCAGACGGTCAATAACACATGTTACATCACATCATCAACCGATATATATTTTCTCAACTGTATGCTTCTAGACTGGTGCAATGTTTGCATGAAATTGCAATACTCTTATAGTTGGTGAAAGTGTGATAAAAAAGGGTAAATTTTCACGTTTTAGACATTATGCCCTAGATTTATAAAAAAAAAAAAATCACCAGTAGAAAACAAAATTGTATCATTACATACACAAATACTGAGTATATAAAGTGATAGGTTTTTAAAGTGTAAGGTTACCAGGGAAAATAAATTACAAATTTCATCTGAATAAAACACAATGTTGAATTTTCTTACCCAGCATATTTCTCTTTTCCTTCTCATCGTATGAAGTCAAGTAGCTCCTTAGAGAAGCTTCATCAGAAATAACTGTTTCTGGTGTCACCACTAGAAGAACATAAGGCAGAGATCAGAAATGTATCAGATATCAAGCACGTTATACATTACTTTATAATTTCTCCCTCAAACAAAGGATAATCTATAGTTGATTATACACGATTGTCCTTGACTTCTTGTATTTCTACTTTACATCAACCAACTATTATTTTGAAATACATTCCCTTCTTTCACAGATTTTCACCCCTCATTAATGCACATGGTATATAGTAATCTAAGATCCTAAATCACTTCATACCGGTAATCACAATTGGCCCCCTCCCTCTACCTCCCTACTCAATTTGATACGTGGCTAAAAGTTCAAACTACAATCATCAGAGCTGCCAACCTCCAGAACAGAAAATCAGTAATCACAAGGCTCAAAATCAGTAATTTGGGGTATAAATCAGTAATTTCTTATGCGGCGCTATGAATCTAAAAAAACGACACGCCAACACTGCGCGGACGCATGATTATCTGAAATTTTTGGTGATTTTACTCACACAAAGATGTTAAGTATTGAATTTCAGGTCATCACAACACAGTTTATCATGAAAAATGGCTCCTATTCACAGCACTCGCTACGATAAATCATATTTAATTCATTAAAAAAAAAAAAAAAAAAAAACTTTTTTTTTTTTTTTTTTTAAATCCGTAATTTGAGACAACATTCCGTAATGGTCGTTAATTTCCGTACCAATTACGGAAAATCCGTACTAGTTGGCAGCTCTGAATCATTGTCTCTAAGACATACATTCATATATCAGATCTTATCTCAAAATTTCTCAAAATACTGCATATGCTCATTGATTTTTAAAAAACTACTCTGTCAAACATTGAAATAATTAATGACTTTGATTCTCCTTTGGATTTGCATCACTTTTTTGTGCATATTAATAAGACTGTATTACATGGAGAATGTCTTGCAACAGGAGAAGATTTGTGTCTCGGCCTAAGAAGGCTTCCTCCGCTTCCACTTGTATCTCTGAACAGAACTGAAGATGAAACAGCTGGAGTGTGAGGGGTGCTCCCTGGTGTCTGTTAAAGGAAAAAAGCAAACAAAATGTGACTGGTTATTGGTGCTAGTGGTTTGTGTGCATACTATGTGGCCATTCTCATAAACAATTGCTAGTTTCTTTCAAGCTGTTGGATCTCATACACTGGTGTCTTGAGACAGCACTTTATAAATTAGTATTTTTGGTTGTCAAAACTGTAATCTCAATATCAAAATCAAATGGATTCCAAGCATGCCATAACTGCATATGGCAATACCAGGGTGGTTCTACAACATATACTCCAGCAGTCAATATCCTACACTAATAAAAATATTTCTGCTTATATAGCGCTCAATACATCGGCAATGTCCGACTTTATAAGCGCTTTACAGTTATTACCATTGTCATCGGATTCTGGCTTGCCTGCACACAAATGTATGCACTTTCTCCACTCCCTGGGGAGCATTCCAGCAAGAGCTACTAGGCTCAAATTGCTAAGGATACTACATTGGCTTTCGCATCCTACCAGGTACCTATTTAACACCTGGGTGGAGAGTGGCAAATGCAGATCAATGTCTTGCCAAAGGACATTAGAGCCTAACCTGAACCCTAGACCAAACACTAGGCCTAACCCTAACCCTATATCTTTTTAAAATTGTGGTTCGTAGCACATCTCTGGTAACCACAAGGGTAGCCTTTCTGAACATTCATTCCATACATTGCCTCATCAAAAAGCTGCCTTACCTGATTGAAGGAATGTCCATTGATTGAGAGGAAGCTCCCCTGGGAGGAAGGGGATGCCCCTGGAGAGTACTGGCCCTTGTAAGCACTGGTCGGAGTCAGCTTGGGGGACCCGTACGCACCCATCAAGGACGGGCTACCCCCAGGACTGGCTGCAGAGGTCGGGGTGGCAGGGTAGAGGTAATGGCTGGGAGGCTTCACAGAGCAGGGAGATGAGGATAAGGGTGGTGTGTGGTGGTGTGAGCCGTAGAGGTTGGCTGGAGCAGACGCTATCCTGTGACGGGACATCTTAAAGCCAATCGCTGCAGAGATAGAAAAGAGATACCATCCTAATATCATAGATAATATGACGAATTGACGATCATTTACATTTACAAATATTCAAATAGGCATGCAGTTAAACAAAATATTCACATAACACTTCATTTGTGCATGAATCTTACAGTAGTTTGAAAACAATTAAATTAAGTCTTCTCAACATATGTTCAAGATAAATTGCTCCAATTGGTAAAATGTTTGTGCATGCATTTCTCTGGAAAATATTTTGTTCATTCATTTGACCACAGGGATGTCATTTAACAATGCAAGGTGAGAAATATTCAAATGTAAATAACAATTAATCTGTACATCAGTACATGTATCTTATAGTAATTTGAAAACTATTTCAATTGAATCTTCTCAACATATGGTCAAGATAGATTGCTCCAATTGGTAAAATGTTTGTGCATGCACTTCCCGGGGTAAAAATAGTTTGTCCAGTCACTTGATGAAAGAGATGTTTTTCAACAATTCAAGATGAGAATATTTTGTTGAAAATATGTGATCACAGCCATGTGACAAATTGGTCTAGTTACTATTTCTAATATGCAATATGCATAAACATCTTTTTAACATTGGTTTCATTTCAAAAATAAAATTGTTCTCAGATTTTTTTTCCCCTTCTAAATGCGTGCATAAATTTTACAGAAAAGAGAAGTGCAAAGAGACAGCATGCTAAGTAGCATCAACTAAAAATAAGCAACAAAAAAAAAAGAAAAAAAAGAAGAAAAATGCATAGAGTTCCTACCATTGTCTCCGACTCCGAGCATATCCTTCTCCACCGGTGACAGGGCAATGGGATGCCGCATACCCTGCAGGGTGGGGATGACATAGCGCCACAGATCCACCAAGGAATTGAACGTGAAGAGCACGGTGAAGGCACATTTCACATACCACACGGACGGATGGCTCAGATCAAAGTAATCCGATGTAGAGCTGAATGTCCTGCGGATGTCAGAAATTTCAATGTCATTACTACATTTGTTAATGTCGACATGTTACACATTTCCAGCACAGAAACATAAGCAAAATATCAGGACAGGTTACTTTGTCATAATTTGTAAGGACTTCTGAATGCAGCAGATAAATCTCATTTCATTGTGCATTCCTCTAGAAATGGAAGAATGAAAGTAAAATCTCCAAAATTTCAAAACTGAAAATAAAAATACTGTTCCTGCACAATTTTTAGTAATCATACAGTGTAGACAATCTTTAACTGAAAACTTCTTGCAAAAGTCAAAGATTTTACTAGACTACTTGATCGAGATTTTTAATTATTACCTACAAAAACAGTGTTTTAGGTGCAAATGAGATAAATGGTTTACTCTATCCTTCATACCCTATGAATGTGAATTTCAAAATAGATTTTTTTTCTTCTTCAGAGCACATAATGCTAGCTCTCGAAAAGTAACATCTGATTAGTCTGCATCATTATCTAAAACTCATCTAACCAGATAGTGAATCACCCGCACTAATCCAATCTATCCCCCAATCGTTCCTTTTTCACAAACTGTGTACATGTCACATGACTGTTGAGTTTAACTCTAATCTATCAAACCATAATCACATCCACATTTGTGGTCTTCAGAGTACAATTTTTTATACAGAAAACTGAAATAACATGTTATTAGCTCACATTTCCAGGAAAAAGAAAACGGCCAAACAGAGGTTGACGACAAACCACAGCAGAGCTCTGTTAGCCGACTGATTCTCAACCTTGCGTTTCAAAGTCTTCTCTGTTACAGGGGTGGCAGCACTCCCAAGTCCTGCTCGCAACATGATGTGCTTTCTATAATTATTTTAAAAAAAATAAAGAGCAAAGGAGATAGAAACAATCAATGCAATCTGTCATTAAAGATGATTAAATAATTTGTCTTCAAACCTAGTATTATACAATAGTAATACATCAAGGTCAAATCATTGTCACATTACAACTTACACTAGACTTTTTTTCTATCACAAATTGTTCTCCATTGTTTCTTAATAAAGCCTAACTTAATACACAAGATTTCCTTCTCATTTCACCAACATACATTATTGTTTTCCTCTGAACTGACATTGAAGTTTGAACTTCGAAGTGAAGTGAAACTAATTTAATTAATCATGTATTGTTTAGATCTATGACTAGACTCTAGATCTATGCTCTTTTCTATCAATATCATGATTCTATGTAATTTATCAATCATTAGCATTTCACTAATACAATATTAATAATAGACCGCGTTCAAGGGCCCATTCGAGCCATGGGTTATGTTAAAAGATAAAGACGAGTTTTAATGTTGCTTCTCAATTGCAATCTCAATCAACTCTCAAGCCATGTCAAATCTCATTTCACACACAACAAAATATATATTTGGGACCGAAGACGAATAGATCAGCACATTAAAGCACGACACAGAAGACATTCATAGAACTTACTTTACTGGTTAAAAGTGTTTCAGTACAGCTCAAAGAAATAAAGAACCGCTACAATGTCCAAAATGATCAGGAACATAAGAAATTCACAGGCAAAAGTGATATAACGGAACACTAGCCACATTCCGCGGTCAGGCGTTTTGAATTTTTGCTATGCATATATGGCGTAAAAGTGCGTACGGTATCTTCGAAAAAACGCGCGGGGAATTGGGAACTTTTTTTTTTGGGGGGGGGGGGGGGGTTACTTTCCTCCCGGCAATGATATAAAACAAGAAAGAAAGAAAGTAATAGGACCAGGGTTGAAGTGAATTGTATAAATACTTTACTACCGTTATTGTTTTGAATTTAGAAAAAAGAAATTCTTAAGCATAATATCTCGTATTTTACGACGCCCTAGTTAGTAAGTTTTATTTTGCGAAGTGGCGTAGCGATTGAGCGAATTTTTGCTTTTTATTGTGATTTAGAGCACTCTTGTTCACACAGTAGGCATATTTGTTAAAACTTAAATGTATGGCTTTTTCCAGTTGTCACTGACCACCTGCTATGATCGTCTCTAGTGGCGATTTTTTTTTTTCTTTCTATTTTGATGGAACCCCCATAAGTGATGTTTACATGGCATCTACTAACATCTACTTATACTGTGTGGGGCTGGACACATGATGGCATTTTCTATGCACATCACATTGCACTTGGCAGCCCAAGGGGGGGGGGGGTTAAATCTCCTAACCCCCCCCCCCCCCCGCCCCGTAGATTCGCCCCTGGTTATTAGAAAAGTAAACTTTTAAGGTGCTCGTGTCAAAGTAATAAGGGCAGTTATCAGATAACGAAGGAAAAAGTACACTTATTGAAAAAGGAAAAGGGACACGAGTCAAAAATAAAAAGAGGGCAGAAATATCAGAGGTGAAAGGGGAATTTCTCCCAACTGGAAAGAGGTACTCGTCAGAGATGAAAAGGGAGGAAAAGGACACTAATTAGACAAGAAAAGGGGCACTTGTCCTATGTACAAAGGGGGCACTTTGGGGAAAACTGAAAAAGTGGCGGCACAGTGCCATCCCCCCCCCCCCCCAAATCCGGGAGTGCCGCCTCTGGCATAATGGGCAAAAATGAGGGGGGGGGAGAGAAATCATGTCATTTTAGCAACATTTTGTAAATCACCAGTGATTGTCTCATTGCCAATCTGAAATATTTCTTCCAAATGGCAAAAATTAAGATTCTTCGCCATATCAAGCTTTACATCGGCCTATTGCATTTCCACTTGGATGGAATTTTTTTTTCTCGTTTCGATTCATTAAAAAGAAAATCTTCCTTAATGTCTATATCTCAAGAAGAATGAAACTAAAGTTTTGAAACAGTTTAAAACTGAGCTAGTGGAAAAAAATACTTCCAAGGCTACTCAGGTTTTATATTCATTTACTTATTTCTTGGGTTTTCTTGAATTACATAAATGAAGTTTAGCACGATAAGCATTTTGCTTTTGAGTTTTTAAAGAAATAGATAAAAAGAGATAACAAACTGATTGTGTGCGCTTCACAAAATTTGACTATGAAGATCAATGTAAATTTGTTGACAATAATTATGCTGCCACCTATCGATATACTTAAGCGCATCGGTGTGACAACGTATTTAAACATTCATCTATGCATACCTTCAAGAGGGCAGAGATCTAAACATAATCGATTTTTTGTTTTAAACTTCGAATTCTTCCATATAGACAGTTTATTGACCTTAATAATTAATTTAAAAAGAAACTGCAGCAATATAGTATACCTGGGACAACATTAGGCTTGGAACTAATAATTCACGAACAACAAATTTGATTACAATCTTGGACTACTACGAGGACATCTCTAGGGAAATGACGATATACATTCCGTTACAAAAATAAAATAAAAACAAATTGTAGGTAAATGCCATAGGGTGTACAACCCACGAGCCTCCTCTGGTGACTTATAGGTCTAATATTGTCGTAGCCAGGAAATATCAAGGATTTGGATGAAATGCTCGGCTGTGTTCAAACACACGTATGGATATCACATTGAAAAGCGTTGACTTTTGAGATAAAAGATGGTTAAATGAGAGATAGAGAGAGAGAGAGAGAAAAAAGAGGAAACAAGAGAGGACGAAAAAGAGATAATGAAAGAGATGGGAGAGAAATGGGAGAGAAATGAGAGAGCGCCTGAGAGAGAGAGAGAGAGAGAGAGAGAGAGAGAAGAAAGAGAGAGAGAGAGAGAGAGAGAGAGGAGGGGGGGGGGTGTTGGGGTCGGGGGCATCACTGGAAAAAAACACAACACACTAGACAATAGCGTATTCGTTATTACGATTACAGATTAAAAGATAGAACATAAATATCATGGCTTTCAGCAATATAGCTTCTTGTTTCGGGCGGGGGGGGGGGGGGGGGGGGAGTGACCCCCAATCTGATGGTCCGCCAATTTATGTTTCATGACTTTGTTTTGTTTGAGGATTTTCTTCCTATACATTTTGTTTTACTTTGTTGTCTTGTCTTATCTTGTTTGCCTAGACGATAATCCTTCCATGTCACAAATTTTATTGCAATAATTATGTTGATTTGTTTCATGTCTATTTGTTAAATCAATAAGAGTCTACAATTATGATAACAGTTTCTGTTTTCTTCTTCTTTTTTAAAACATTTTATAGTTGAGTAAACCCCCTCTAGTTTACATTATAATGATATATATATTCAAATTAAATTAAATTTAGTTTTGTAGGTGATTATTGGTTTCAAGCACAGGATAATTAGTTCTGCTTTCAGCTGGTACCATGGTCGGACACCTTCTTCTGGATCCAACGAGCCGTACACAAAACCAGGCTTCTTTGTTCGCGGCAACTGTAAAAACATATGTGTCCCGTGGTCGAGGTTCTAACAAAGAACAGGGTCGTGTCGTCTGCTACGGTTTCTGGAGTCGGGTTGAACGCCAATCGTTGTCGTTTAATTCAGTCATAATTTTTGTTAAAGGTGACTACTAAAAGAGCTTTAAATGTGAGAATTTATTACTGTGCTGTTAGTCGACAAGGATACACATAATTTTGATTTTTGGATCGGAATAAGGTTGTCTGATTTTAATCATTTGTGAGTAATTAACGTTATTGCTCTTTGCTAGATCAGGTGCTACAAAAGAGTATGCATCAAGAGACTACCGGTAAATGAGCAAGTTTTTCTTCCAGTCGCAGTCCCATCAAACGTGCTCTCTGGCTCCAGTGGCAGTTTATCAACATACTGAGAGAAGTTTGGATGTAAAACATCACTGGAACACAATTTAGAATGCCGTTTATCTGATTTGGGTTTTCATTCTTCCAAGATACTGTGGTAAGTATCCAGAAATGTTTGTGATTTAAGTTTCGGCGTTGCAATTGTGAGCTTTCTTTAATCCTATAGTATTGAACTTGAAGTTCAAGTCATGCATAAGCATAATTATGCTGAAGCATCGCGATACACGAGGCATGATGATGGCGAGGGAAAGTTAGGAGCAGTATAGGGTAGTATAGACCAACACCAATTTGCAACACAAGTATAGAAGATCGTGACCTATGGCTATACAAAACCTATACATATAGAATCAAGGTCAGTTCCACTTTTATGTCATTTTGCATTCATAGGTCAGAATACTTGAAACAATTAATAAACCTTGATTACAATCATGACGTATGGTTCATCAGCTAGGTTGGATGACCGATGAAATTTAATGGGGAAACAAACTGCAGATGACAGGGTCCTTTGTGATAGAGTACAAAGCAATGAAACACGAAAGGGGTTCATTAACCAATAATTCATTGTTTATCACCATGATCAAGCAGAAATATAGATTATTATGGCAATTGTTAACAAACAAAATAATGTAAACAGGATGTCATTGTTTCTAAAAAATAAACAGGATGTCATTGTTTCTAAAAATGTATAGACTATATTATTGTGGCTGTGACGATGTTACCGCTAGAGTGATGAAGGTGAAGGGTATAGGATAGGTCAAGAAACTCCATGCTGTATATCATGGGGTGATACATGCATATCAAATTGTTCATAATCATGGTAATCAATTTTGTTTATGAACTGCACTATTTATAGTATTTGATTATGCACCATGCATCAAGAGGTTACATGCGGATTGACGTTGTTTCTATACTCATTTATCGTAGTTTTTATTTCTAATATGTTTCTATCTCTATTTCTGTCGTAGCTTGTCCCCAAGTATTTGTGTGATTTGCATGAATGCCGTAGGAATGCATGCGTAAAGACAAAAATAAAACACTGTTTCCTGTTACAGAGCTAATTGAAAGATCAGATATAAAGGGTACGTTGATTACCGAATCTATTTGAATCTCTCGTCATGCATACCGTGTATAGAACAATATATAGGCCCACGTTTAATATTATATAGTTTCCGTCGATATGACCAATTGTTATATTTAGAAACCGTGAAGATTCATGCTGAAGGAATGTTTTGAAAAAGAAATAGAATTTTCTATACATAATTTTCTGCCACGGAACGTTTATTTTTTTGGAACAAAACAAACAAAAACATGTACCGAAATTACACAAACCCTCTTCATTCAACCAATTATTGAACACTATATATTATAGTTTCCATAATTAGGATTTTCTCGGTAAATGTCCATGTATTAGTATTATTTTTTGTTATGTTTGTTAAATAGAAACCAAAACAAATTTATCTACCAAATGACGTTTTTCAAGGTTCATGCTTGCCAATTGAACCTACGCATATTTAATTATAAATGTTACTAGCAGGACCCGCGGAAATCCGCGGGATTCTAGAGGGGGGCGGGGGGTGTAAATAGATATATAGAGAGTGTCTAAATTAAAACCACCAAGAACTTTATTTGCCATTCAGGCCATTAAAAAAATATACATGTTTAGCGTCCCCGCCCGCTTCCTTTTTGGGGGCCGCCTCCTATTTATTTATTTTTTGAATTTTTTTTTTTTTTTTTTTTGAATTTTTTTGATTTGGTTAGGAATGAATGTTGTTGTTTGCATTTTTCCCGCAGAAGGATATCATGGAGCAAACGCTTCTTCGCATAATGCATCAAAACAAGACAAAAGGCGAGCAATGAATGAAAACAGCAATGCAATGTTAGCGAATATACTTAGGGAAATGGTTCTACAGCTCCGAAACTATAT